AGAGAGAGAGAGAGAGAGAGAGAGAGAGAGAGAGAGAGAGAGAGAGAGAGAGAGACAGGCTCTCACTACGTAGTTTCAGGATGGCCTTGAACTCAATATGTAGCCCAGATTAGCCTCAAGTTCCTGTCGCTCTTCCTGTCTCAGCCTCCCAAATGCTGGGATTACGTAAGTGCTGATCCTTGAAATAGAAATCTTGAGATTCCATCAAAATTCAAAAAGAAAACCAAACTGAGACCCAGCTCCACAGAGAACAAAGAAAGGTATTTAACAGCAGCAGTACCCCAGGAGAAATGACCCGATGTGGACCAACATAAGACAGGACTTTAACAGAGGCTTATTTGTTAGCTGAACATCTGTCTTCCTGCATTCCTCACCAGGGCTGCATTCCGCAGAGCTCACTTATCAGCCTAAATATAGACAGACTAAGCTGTTTGCTAGGACCTCAAAAGTTATTAAGTCCACTGCCCACTGCTGTCAGCTAAGCTATGTCTGAGAGCCCACTCGTGCAATCACATTTGCCCACATCTGACAGCATAAATCTACACAGGGCTTTCACACTGAATTAAACTAGAGCCTCCGTGGCAGGGAGCGGTTACTTAGTTACTCTGTTAGTGTCACTGTCAAGTAAAAACAATCAAATGATATTAGAACACAGGCTCTATTTTTATGAGGGGACTTTGACGTTTAAAAGCTATTGAATCATCAATTGGGTGTGGTGGCGTATGCCTGTAATCCCAGCATTCGGGAGGCTGAAGCAGGAGGATCATTGTGAGTTCGAGACCAGCTTGGGCTACAAAGAGAGCTCAAGGCCAGCCTGAACTGCATAGAGAGACTCTGTCTCAAACAGACAAAAAAACAAAACAAAAAAGCTATTGAATCATCAATCTGGCTAAACACTTCTTTTTTTCACATAGTTAATGCTGGTGATGGACACATTGCGTTAGCATTTGGGGTCATAAGCAAAAAACCCTTTGTGTCTCATCTTCAGGTTCACCCCTATTTTCTTTCCTTAATGGTTGAAATTATTAAGCAGAGTTTTCAAAAGAAAAGTGTCCCAGCTCTATTCACTCACCTTGCTCACTTGATTGGTTACTTTCTTGGCAAATTCTATATCTGGAGGGTCAGCCAGAGGCGTGAACTGAGACTGCTGTTCAGCGTGACCTTTTTTGTAGGCAACCTGACAAAATAAAAAAAAAAAACAAGGGTGCTCATGAACTGCAGCAAATTCTACTATTTCCTATGTTCCATTTGTTGGCATTTTTTAAAGGGATGATGTTCTAATCTGTGTTTGAAGTCTTCAGTTTTAGTGTATCGTGTTACCATAACCTGTTGTTCTGGGTGTTAGATACGCTTGTTCTTAGTATGGCTGGTTATTTCTAGTTCTTGAGACTTCTCTCTTCTCTAGGGCTGTTGGCCCTCGATCTGTTTCCTCCCGTTCGTTTTCATGCTATGATCTGTAACTGCAATTTTTTTTAACCAGCGACCTCAGCTCTCGACCTCCTGTCTTTTATCACCCCCTTGACCAATCTCTAGTTTTGGATCAGTTCAATCACACAGTAATGCTGAGTGCTACAGAAGAAAAATCACAAACGTATGAACAAGGCAATAATAAAGTGATACGCAGGGATAAGAGGGGGACACAGAGAGTAGAACAGAGGAGAGAGCCTTTGAACGCTAGTAGGAAATCCACGTGCCTGCCCGGAAGTACCTTCCGTGAGCGGCAATTGCTTGGGGCTCTGTGCCCAGGGCCCCCTGACTTGATGGTACCCGTCTGCTGCTTTATCCTCAGTGAAGGTCGAAGCGCCCGTTGCGTGTCTCTGGTCAGCCTGAGTGCCGGCGCCTGGTCTAGAGACCCCAACACCGCCCTCAGTTCTCCAGTCAGGCCCACCCCATTCCCAGCTTCCTCCTACACCTTTCCCACCCAGCCCTGCCTTCCCGTTCCCTGCGCTGGCTCTGAGGAGCAGCGCCCGCCCGCCACGGGGCATGGCCCGCACCCTCGGCGCCATTCCACCCCCTGCCCTTGGTACCCAGCTCTACGGTGCTCCCTTCTCTTTCTCCCAGCTTCAGTCCCTCCTCTTTCAGGAGCTCCTTCCCCTCACCCTACGGAAGGTGCCTGTCGCCTAAACATAGGCACAGTGCCCACGAGTCACAGTCCCCTCCGTCCGGCTCTTTCAGGTGCTTTCCCCACCAGTCTGAAATACTGCTTCCAGCTACTCACGGAGCCTCAGACACAATCAGCCTCAGTTTCCTCAGGGCCCGTGCATGCTGTTCCTTTACTCCAGAATATCCGAGCCCCCCCGCCACCACCCCGAGAAACTCTGCGTCTTTCCACAGCTCAGGGCTGCATGGCTCTTCCTCCCCAGCCCTCTCTGACTCCTGAGCAGATGCGACGCCCTTCCCTTGGGGTCCATTCAACATGGCCTTCTCTCTCATCAGGTGACACCGCCACTATTGTTTACACACCCACTCCCTTTTGGTCTGTGAGCTCTGGGGCGCCTGAGGAAAGTCCTCTCCTTGTGGCCTGCATCGTGCCTAACTAAAACGAAGGTTTAGTCCCCGGTTTCTGAATGTGTGTCTGTGTGTCTCCCAGACTGGTGCCCTGAGGGGAGGTCTGGAGGGCAGGGCTCCCCTCCCAGCGCCTCTACCACTCAGCTGGGACATGTCTGCAGATTATTTTTTCTTCTACACAACAGAATTCTTATTTAGTAAAAAAAGGAGTTAGATAATTGCATACTTTAACCAATTCTAACTATACCTTATCCTAATAATATCTATCTAGTGCATATAACAAAAGCTTTCATGAATATCAAATCAAATGGGAGATGAAAGACAGTTTCAAAGTGTATAAATTCTACAGCTAAATTGCTTTTCAGTAAGTGAAGGCTGTTTTAGGAAAAGGGGAAGAGGAATTTTCCATGGCTGGCTGTGTCCTTAGGGAGAAGACAACATTTAAACAGGAGAAATGCTGGTTAAGTGTGACATCCTGTCGAGAATTTCAGAGAAGTCAGCTCCAGAAGTCCTTATTTCTCAGGAACTTTGTTTAGAATCTTGTCTCATTAAATTCTAGCCTCCCCCCACCAATAGGGACTCTTGTTACATTGCTCAGTCTGGGCTCAAATTTGCGATCTTCCTGCTTCAGCCTCCCACAGTGCTGCGATTACAGGCATGTGTCACGATGCCATGCTCCGTCTATTTAGAATTTTGCATTTTAGGTCAGCTTCAAGAGTGTCTTAGTGTCTGCAAAGTTTCTGTCTCTATTTAGATAATAACGAAAACATGATAAGTAGAGTTAAGAGGGACACAAGAAAGGAGAGAGAGGAAGAGAGGGAGTGAGCAAGGGAGGGACTTAAATCCAAGCCCCCATCTCAAAATACATGTGCCTGCCCAGTGGCACGTTCTGTGAGCAGCAGTTTGTTTCGGGCATTGTGCCCAGTGACTGTAGAAACTTGTGGTGCTGACAGTAGTATTAATAGCCTTGCTAGAAGCTGATGCTTAGTGCATGCTGGGGTCTACACAGAAATAAAAGGTATCCCCTAACTGCCCAGTAGAAGTGGGGAGTATTTTACTTCACTATCGCATCCTCTACTGTGATATCTCCAAAACGTAGCAAGTTTCAGTTGTTGGAAGTCCACACACCAGAGGGCTGTGGAGGTAATCCCTCATCTCTGTTCTGCGGATAAAGGGAGATACCAGGAGATTAAGTGTCTCTCTGGAAACCTCCCCTAGGCTTGCATGACTTGGCATTCCTGATTCCCCTTCACCCTCTCCGTTGTTCCCTTCTCCTTTTGCAGGCGGCTTTCCAGATGTCCTAAGCGTAGGTGTCTTCCAACACTCTGTCTTTGACGTACATGCTCCTGCCTCCTCATACATTTTGTGTCTTCAGCAACTGCTTTTGTTTTGGTGACTTTTCAATACTAAGTTCTTGTCCTGCCCTCACATCTAAGCAATAGCATTAAATTCCTCGTTTACCCGTGGACGGCTTCCTCTGCTCCCTACATTACCTCAGGTCGGTTCCTTGCTCCACGGCCGCATCTCTACAGCAGGGCCCCACTCACCCAGACCCTCGGTCTGCGCATAAATCCGCCCTGACTACTTTCTCCCCTTCCTCTCCAGCTTTCAAAGTCATCACCACGCATTAACGCTTCTTATCTTCAGATTTCTTGCGTCTTATTCCCATCCTCTCTCTGACCTGTGTACGGTTCTAACATGACTTCTGCAAATTGTCATGATTTCTGTTTTTTCCTAGTCCTGCTCCACCTCGCTGTGCCAAGCAGAATGTCTCCAGATTCTATTTTTATCATATTGTTTTTCTCTCCAGGATCTCATGGCCTTCCTATTGCTTACCCTGTCATGTCAAAGCTATTTTGTCTGATTTTTGAGGCTGGCTCATAAGTCCCCACCAAGCCAAATACTAACAACATTTGCTTACGCTGTCCTCAGTGCCTCAGACTCATCTGCCCCCGTCCTTTGGTCTTGGCACTCCCTCCGCCTGAAATGCCTTCCACACCTTTCTTCTCCTTCGCTGCTCCTCCCTGGCTCACCGCCTCTGCTGGCCTCTCGGAGTGCTTGTATCCATCCTTTCTCCCAGCAAGTTATTACACTGATGAGTTGTGTTCTGATGTTCAATTTGTCTTGTTGTTTGATATGTAACATTTCATCTTATAAGCTTAATTAGAAATTCTCAGGGAAAATCACGAAACCTTCTGGTGATATTTTTCCAACTCACCAGGTGTCTATGCATACTACTTTTGATACATAACTATTGATCATTTGATGAAGACTTCATAATAGTACTATGAATTCATGAGATACAGAACCTAAAACCAAGCTTAAAAGGCAGGCAGGAGGTACTCACATACTAAGACTGTACCATGTACTAAATGACTTCAAAATTTTGCTAGGCTTTATCTCCTAACATGACCTATGGAAGGGTTAAAGTTTATCTGTGCTACATTCTAACAACCATATGGAAAGTGAGGTATAAAACAGGTTCACTAAGTTTACAGGTGATGTGACACGGGAGGCAATAAAAATCTGAACCCAGACACTGGAGACACCACCAACGGGCACACATAGCTTCAGTCCAGGGCAAGATGAAACCCTAGAATCCACTGGGAATAAATTTCCGTAAGTTTTCATTGTCTTGTTATTAAGTCTGTATTGAGTATAAGTCAAATAACATGGTGTTTTATGACACAGTGCTCTGCTAAAGACTAGAGCAACAATCTCTGCATTTTCAGTATGGCTTCCAGCAAGTCCCATGGTCAAGAAATAAAGTGTCTTGAAACAAGAGCTCCGCACAAGGGCTCTAAACGGGGCTCTCTGCCACTATTGCTCTCATTTCAATACTGAGGACTACCAAGTTTTTCAAGCTCCTCCAATATATAGCATTTGTGTTCTACGAAATTAAAATTCTGGCAAATGAGTCTACTGACTTTTTGCTAACTATGAATTCTCCTCTATGCACATCAGTGCCAAGGGCTTTTTATGGGATACCTACACAGAGATGTTCAACAGGGACACCAGCTAAGTTCCCGCAGAGCAAGAAGACAGCTTAGCCTTGATGATTGCTAGCAAAGCAAAACCTTAACAACACTGTTTCCTTAATAAATTTGCAAAGATAGTTGTGATTCTGACCGACATTTAGAAAATGCCACACCACTGTCACAGAATGACTTCAACCAGAGCCAAGGGCAAAGAATGAGGCACCCCCTAGAGCACTGGTCTTGCAGCCACAAGTCTAGGCTCCGCCACTGTCTAAGTGGGCTTAGATGCAGTGTCCTGACTGGGAGAAGGAAGAACTGAGCTAAGCGATATCTAATATAAGGTGTAAGTTATATCTAATACAAATGTAAATAAGATAAGATAAACTATGGTTTATCGTATAGTTCCAGACATGCTCCTCTGCCATGATGGCATTTAGTCTTTGGGACAGAAGTCCAGTGAATACCTGCAGAAGACGTCACCCAGACATCCCTGACTCCGCACTTTACTTACATCACTGAGAGCTTTCTGGGCCTGGGCAACCCTCCGCAGTTCCGGGCTGTCATTATACGGGTAAAACAAACTTTTGTCGGCGTCCCAGTCTTCAGTGTACAGTTTCTAAGTCAGAAAAGAGTGCAAAGGTATGAGAAAATGAGTTAATACTTCATGAGATACATTGCTCTAAACTTACTCACCAACGGTAAGGAACCGAGGGCAAGGAATGAAATGCACAGAGAACGCCCTCTTGCACCCAGTCCGAGGCACTCTTCTCACTAGCTCGTCCTGATGGGCCCGATTCGGGGCACATGTGCCTGACTGTGTTTCATCCCCCTTCGACCTTACCTGCCTCCTGCAATATGTGTGAGCACAAGTGTAAGGAACCAGGAAGCATTTCCTGTAGTTTCTGCCACAAAATAAGCTTCTAAAAAAAAAGTGACAGCCAGGGATATCCAAGGTCTGCGCGAAAACCTAGAACATTACTTTGTGGACATGTTCACTGCCTCTGAGGAGCTGGGCTCCGGTTCTCGAAGGATTTCTGTCCCTCAGCCCAAGAACTGTCCCTGACAGAGGCTCAGGCCGACTCCTTGGCAAGCCCATACCTGTGGTCCCACATGTCTCCAAACTATCACAAAAAGGTTTGGGAAGCTGTTTCAGACTGTGAGGAGTTTAGCAGGGGCTGCTCTAACGTGTGTGGTTGGATGACGCAGGAAGCAGACGTGGTAGAGCGGAGGCTCTTACCTTACTGAACATGGCTGTGTTCTTAATGGCCTGGACAAGTTCAGGGGCATCAGGGGGAAGCAGGTACTTATCCTTGGTGTCTTCCCAGTTCTGCTTGTATAAAACCTAGACAGGAAGAGCAAAAGAGCCACGGTAGACAGAAGAACTGGAGAACACAGGAAAAACAGTGAAGGTAGCCTCTCGCACAGGCTGCCCGCGTTACCAGAGAAATGTCGACCATGTCAACATCTTAAGCTACTTGACCTATATTAGTAGGCTCTTCTTGAAATTCTAATTTTTTTAACTGATGCAGGATGCTGATTCTCTATAGGCTTTTTTCAAAGTTTATGACCAATCACTGACTCAATCTGGCAGCCAGATACATGTCTTTTAACTTGGATGACATTTGAAAATGTTTTCTAGTTAGCTGCCTGCATTTTTGGAAATTTCTCATAAAATTTTATTTCTCATAAAAATTTAGTTCCTCAGAGCTTTGAAAGATAAAGAAACTCCAGGGACAGTGGGCGTGCACTGAGGCGCAGCCCTCTGGAGCTGAGTCGCTGCTGACCCTTTGGGCAAGGTATGTAATCTTTAATCCACCTCTCCCTTCTGGGGGCTGCTTCGGCCACCTGTGGAACCCCCTTAGTGAATGTGGACACTCAGTTAACCCTCTCCAGGAGACCAGTGAGCAGGACTGGGTCTGTCCATCTCTCCTTAAGACACAGCACAGGCAACACTGTGGGATACGGACTAAGCCAGCAGCCCATGCACCGTCTTACCTTGCTGACTTGCTGCGACACTTTCTTTGCATGTTCAATATCTTTGGCTTTTTCGTCCACATGACAGATAGTTTTAGCAACATCACCATCCATTCGATACTTAACCTGCAGAAATAGTGCAAGAGTAGAGTTCCTGATAAGCATGAACATGTGAGTATGTTAAAGAATATCATACAAGGACAGAGCATCAACCCACTGCATTTTAGCTGGGACTCTATGAGCTTCAAAGGGCTACAGAACATATGTATCTGCCACTGTCTGCTTTCATGGCCAAATGTCTACCTGGGTGCTCCCTAGGCTTACCGTGCTTCAGTGTGGAGGACCACAGTGTACTAAAGTCTCATCTCATAGTCTCCTCTTAAACTAACTGCTAAACCAAGCTTTTAGAAATAAAAAATTTCAAACAAGTCTCTGGGTTCATATTTACAGCAGCATAATCTCCGATCTCTGCTCTCTCTACCCTTTATTCTTGCTACATGTATTTACAGCCTGCAGTCCCCAGCCCTGGGCATGTCCTGGAAATGTCTCTCGATTCTAGCAGTGCAGCTCACCTCACTGAGTTGGTCTTGCACTTTTTTGATTCTGCGAAGTTCTGGAGTATCGGTTGTGCTGGCGTATGACTGTCCTTTTGCTTTCTCATAGCTCTCCTTGTATTTATTCTGAAAAGCATATCAAATGTTAGCCTCGAACTCCGTAAGAGAGCAGAAGAAATTTCAAACAGGAAACTCATCCCAATATGAGTTTTAAAAATCCCCCAAATTATAACAATTACCAGTTATAACAGCTTTCATTTTGCCTAGACATGCTCAGCAAAAACTAAAATAGATCTGTTAATTGCTCTCCCTAAATATGATTAGGTCCTGGAAATAGTGGAAAAAAAATTTTTTTTACCAATTATTGTCTTGGAAATATCCTAAAATGATTGTCTGGTTTTTTTGTTTGTATGCCCATAAAAAAGCCTGAATTTCAATTATTTTAGAAAATAAATACAGAAAATGAGTGAAATTTGAAAAGATTTGATTGCTAATACAATGCAAAAATATTCAATTCATAAATTATAGCTAAACCTCAGTGTTCTGAATAGCTGAAATGCAAGCCGAATTAACGGAAAGCCTAAATTATAGACTGTTTTGTAAAGGAATGCAATTTTATCATGTCGGCTAACTATAAAATGAATTCTTGTTTAGTAATAATATATATAATTGTCACTATTAAGGCTTCAAAGAATACTCGAGTGGAATGATCAACAAATTATGTTATTGGTTTAGTTACTAACCCCTTTAAAAATATTATAGAATTTTGCCAACATTCTGTTCAGAAAATCAGAAATTCTAGGTTCATAACGTCTGAATTGACAAAGTTTTATGGCAATACATTTACAAAATAATTTTCTGTCTTTGCTGAATACCACGGTGATTTTTTTTTTTTTTTTTTTGAGGCCAGAAAGTCTTGTTTTTTAAAAAACCTGCGTTAGGTCATCGGTTGTCCCCAGGAGTTAACACTTAACCAAAAGTGAGTATTTATTGGCCCTCCACAGCGGGATGCTTTAACGTGAACTTCTGTCTCATACACTCCAATGATCCCTGAGCTACGTTTCACGTTTTGAAGCCCTCAGAGGATGTGCAGTCTAGCTGCCTAGTGAGACTTCAGTCCAACATTAAAAAAATCAACAAATTAGACCAAATAAGATCAACTGAAATAGGGCTAAATGTGCTGCCAGTCAGTGTAGGCTGTGGGGCCGTACACGGGAATGTAAGGGTGAGAGACCCTCAAGCACAGCGCTTCTCAGCCTGGACTACACATGAGAAGCACCCTGGCAGCTTTTAAAAGTCCGTCTGCACAGGCTTGAGCCTTGAACTAATTAAACTAGAATGGCCAGAACATTCACAGTTTTAAAGTTCCTGGGGGCGTCCACTATGTAGCCATGATTTTAAAACCGCATATTTCTAGAGTGTACAACCATTCCGATTCTCAATTTCAAATCAGTTCTTAGCTTCTTCTTGCCTTTCTAAACTACAATGTTTTTCACTGTATATCTCTTAGACACCTTCCTACATATTCGGAGCTATTCTGTTTAAGAGGCTGTGCCACTCAGACATATTTTATTTGTATTTTTTTTTATTTTAAAGAGAAAAGAAGAAAACCAAAATAACAAAGACAAAAACAAAACAACACAAAAAACTATAAAATGATACAGAATTTCAAAACAAGATGATGGGAAATCAACAATGGTTGTTGAATTATTTTAATCTTCAAAGTTGTTGCTCAGATTAACAGATATAGGTATGCAAGATTGAGCAAACAATTAAACAAGTAACTGTTGTTTAATTAACAATTAAACAATTGAGCAAACAATTAACTGCTGCTTTCAACAAACCAATAGAAATTAGTAGTAAAATTATCATGGCTATCTTTACATTAGTATATACATATATATATTTCCCTTCCTTCTTTGTTTTCTTCTTTCCCTCATCCCAGTTGTTCTTTCCTATTAAGCAGTTTCTTTCCTTTTCACAATATCTATTGTACCTTTCAGATTTTATTTACTCTTTCAGGTTCTTACACTAGGGAGACAATCCAAAGTTTACACATGTGAGTCTGATTTATTTCACTTATGAGTATGGTCTCTAGTTGCATCCATTTACCTACAAAAGCCTTGAGTTTATCTTTCTTTATAGCTAAGTAGTACTCCACTGTATAAAAAATACCACATTTTTCTTATCCATTCCTCAGCTGATGGGCATTTGAGTTGTTTCCAAAATTTTGCTATGACAAATTGTGCTGCTATGAACATGGGTGCACATATATCATTGTGGTATGATGTTTCTAATTCTCCTGGGAAAATACCCAGAAGGGGAATGGCTGGGTTAAATGGGACCTCTAGTCCTAATTTACTGAAGAATCAGACTGATTCCCACAGGGGTTGCACCAGTCTACACTCCCACAGTGGAGAAGAGTTCCTTTTTCCCCACAGCCCCTCCAGCATTTGTTGTTGCTTCATTTCTTGATGGTAGTCATTCTTACTGGGGTGAGATGCAATCTCAGTGTTGTTTTAATTTGCATCTCTCAAATGACCAATGTTGCTGAACATTTTTTCATGTATTTATTTGCCATTTGTATTTCTTCATCTGCAAAGTGTGTATTCATCTCAGATGCCCATTTTTCGGTTGGGTCTTTGAATTTGGGGTTTTGAGTTTTTTCAGTTCTTTATATGTTCTAGATAGAAGTCCTCTGAGGGACAAGTGGCTGAAATTGTTTCCCACTCTGTGGGTTGCCTTTTCACTCTATTGGTGATTTCCTTTGAAGTACAAGAGCTTTTTAATAGGATGAGATCCCACTTTTTAGTGGGATGAGATCCCAGTTGTTGATTTTTTGAAGTGTTTCCTGTGCAGTTTGGGTTTTGTTCATGAAGACTGCCTAACCTTACGTCTTCAAGATTTTGACCTATTTTCTCTTCCAGGAGATTTAGTGTTTCTGCTTTAATATTTAAATCTTTGATCCATGTTGACTTTAGTTTAGTGCATGGTGATAGAGATGGGTCTAGTTTTAGTCTTCAGCATGTACACAGCCAGTTTTTCCAGCATCACCTATTAAAGAGGCTACTGTTCTTCCAGTGAACATGTTTGGCCCCTTTGTCAAAAAAAGGTGGCTGAGTGTGTTTGTAGTTGTGTCTGCATCTTCTAGTCTGTTCCACTGGTCTTCAGGTCTGTTTACCATGCTGATTTTATCACAGTAGCTTTGTAGGATAATTTTAAGTCAGGGATTGTGATGCCTCCTGACTTGTCTTTGTTGCCCAGGACTGCCCTTGCTATTCTTGGTCTCTTCTGGTTCCAAATGAAATTTAAGACTATTTTCTCACTTCTGTGAGGTATGTTAATATTTTGATCAGGATTGCATTAACTCTGTATAACAATTTTGGAAGCATGGCCATTTTCACTATGTTGGTTCTTCCTATCCATGAACAAGAGATATCTTTCCATTTTCTGATATCCTCTTCAGTCTCCTTTTTCAGAGTACTGTAATTTTCAATATATAAATCTTTTACTTCCTTTGTTAGATTGATTCCTAAGTATTTCATTTTTTTGGATGCTATTGCGAGGGGTGTGGTTTCCCTAATTTCTCTCTCAATAAGTTTGTGTACAAGAGTGCTATTGATTTTTGAGTACTAACTTTATATCCAGCCATGTAATTGAATTTGGTTATTAACTCTAGGGGTCTATGGGTGGAGTTTTTGGAGTTTTCTCTGTACAGTATCATGTCATCTGAGAATAATGATTATTTAACTTCTTCCCTATCATTATTCTTTTTATTTCTCTCTCTCATCAGACATATTTTAAATATGTGTTTTTTAGCTTCCATTAACTGATCTCAGTTAAATTTATATTTATTATTTCATTATTCTAGATTGGCTGATCATGATTGAATATCAATAAATGTTTTATAATTGGCCTTATGCTTATTTTGCAGAAATAATTTCAACAAGGATGCCTGCCCTAATGTGTACAAATGTATTATATAAAATAAAAAGCCAAGAGTCACAAGAAAAGAGCTTATGTTTCTGCAAGATGAATTTTTGTTTCATTCAAGGTCAAAACAAAAACCCAACCAGCATCCAGGGCGGTTTGTTAAGATTGGTAACTTCTTAATAATAAAACCAGTTTAGAAAGAGTTTGAAACTTACTGGGCTAAATAGATTCTGCATTTTCTGACTGTGTTCAATGTAGGGGGTCATGAACTTGGAAGAGTCAACCTTCTTTCGGACGACCTTCTTCCTCTGTTTCGGCTCTGCCGGTTCTGGCTGTGGCAGTGTTGTTGTGAAAGTTTCTGATTGGTCATAGCCGGGTATTGTCCTTGTAGTCGTAGTTTCAATGACTTTTGTTATTGTCTGGAAAATTGACATACAATTCAACACCATTATCAAAGTGAAAACAGTGTTATAAAACTGTTGGTAATATTAGTCTAACTTCAAGTCAGATTCACATTCCTGGTGTTATGTCTGAATATCTAAAACAGGACAAGGCAGGAAGGCACACACTCTATTCACATGAAGGCACAGTATGTTCCATAACTATGAATGCTGATTGCAACATTGCCTTAAAGTTACATTTGCAGAAAGACAATCAAACACTTTAAGGAAATGCAAAGAATCAGAAGTAAAATATTCTTAAGCATTTGAAAATCTTAAGCTTTCTTGATAAGATAAAAGGCAAAAAGTTAAGACAAACAAAAAAATTTAAACTCTTGACTTTAACATTAACTTTTAATTAAATAAGAAGAAATTGGGTGCATTTCTTGTAGACATTTAGGCACTATTCTTTATACTACGAGATAAAGAATAATAAACTTAAAAATGGATCACATATTATTAATATTATAAGTGATCGCCATTCCCTTGGTTTAGCCAGTTCATGAGTATGAACTGGAGTGGCATTTACACGGATAAATGCTTAGCCGGAGAAGAATAATGATGACAACACACTTTAGTAATTATTTTCACAACAGACTTGTCCAGGCAGTAAGTGGGAAATGACTGTTTCTTACAACAGGATATCATGAAAAAAAGTAGGACCCAAAGACTGAATCTAGTCCAAGACTTAAGACAGTATAAGAAAAGAAAATAAGCACCCAAGTCATCAATCCATCTCATAACGTTCCTCCTCTTAAAATATCAGCTGTACCAATTTTAGTATATGTGCTTTACAGCAAGCACTCATCTGTACCAAAGGAAGGATCCTGGCATCGATTATGAAAAGAAAAACAGTGCAGCAATTGTACAGACGTGAACATTGCCCCCTGTGCTGTCAGGTCGTTGTCCATAGGGTGCTTTCCAGACACCGTTACTAACGTGTGGCTAACAACGGGAAACCAACCGGTTTCCAACATTTGCTGATACTCATTCCCTTGCAGCCACAGGCTCTGCGCAGGCTCAGGGGTAACTATCCAGATTACTGCTTCTTGGGCCGGGGATTTAGCTCAGCAGCATAAGCACCTGCCTGGCGAGTGCAAGGTCCTGAGTTCAATTCCCGGGACCAAAAAAAAAAAAAAAAAAAGAAACCAGATTATTGTTTCTCATGTTCCAGGCAGAACAGCTCCATGCAGAAAATGAAATGCTATGAGGAAGGGATTTCACTGTGGTGGGGAAATGAGTTTGAACTTGGGATATTTACAGGAACGGCTGTCTCAAAATTTATAATGTGCCAAAATCTGAGTTGCATGTCACTGATCAGGGACAAAGTCCCTGGTGGCAGAGACAGCATCCTACAAATTACAACTCTACACAGTGGAATTGCTGATCTCCATGCAATTCATGCTGGTCACCAAGGCCATCCCTCCTGTTACAGGTGCAGAGTGGTGACTGCCACCAACATTACCCTAACTAGCAACAAGCACACGCACAGTCACATGGGCCCTGAGGGAAACCATTCCCTGCCAGCTTAGATGAGCTGAATAGCAAAAACAGGGAAATAACCTGTCAAACAGGTACCATTTGCTCATTTAATACAAACATCTGGGCACAGGCAGGTGGTTGATCCTCCTTCCTCAGATGCTGTTTCACCATCTTTGCAACCCTAGGAGTCTGGGAGGGAGAAGGTCCCTGGGGAGCTAAGGAGAACAAGCGCATGCAGGTACGGAGCGGACCTTACCTCTCCTGGCACCTCTTCATACACTGTCTCCTCTGTGTAGTACTGGAAATAGAACACACAGGCATCACCGTGAGAACCAAAGTGGAGCGCGCCTTTCCCCTGCCTCAGTGAGCCCTAGGAGCTCTCACCAGCCCAGTTGGTTCACAGTCTCTGTGGGAAGTGGGCGAGGGAGCCTTTCCTCTTTGGAGACCCCGGTCTCCTTGTAAAGCTTTAGAAACACTAAAGTGAAGCCATCCAACGGGACAAAAAGCTGCACGTGATGAGCCAGGGGCCCAGGCGGGTTTCCATACAGGGGAAGCTATTTTCCTGGGACAAGTAATATTTTTTTCTTATGAAACCCAAGACAGAATTTCCTTAGGAAAGAGTACAACAGTGATATCTTGAGTGTGTGGTTTGGGCAAAAAGCAACTATGATAAAACTCACTCTTTACTAACAGTAAAACAAAACAGAATCCCCAGTGTGAATAATTTTTATGGGATTTTATTATGGGAGTAATAAGATCCAAAGTCACATCCGCATCTCAGTTATTCCTCTATCCCTCTGGTTAGTAAGCAGTAAGTTTTCTGCAGTGACAGATGACTCCTTTTCAATAGTGCAATGGTCCTAAACAGGCTGTGAAGACAACTGGTAAATGCCAGAAGAGAGGGGAAAGGTGGGTCCTCAGCACAAAACGTGGGCAAGACAGGTTGCAAGCCTGCTCCTGATGACGGTGAGGTGCCTGTCCTCTGGATCTGAGACTGAGTCTACTTTTGTTCTACTTCTGACATCACTAGCAATAAATAGATGCAGATGACAGGGACTGGCTGACATTTTGTTTGAGATGTGTAAGAAGAGTGGAATCCTGCCTTGGCCTCACCCCGCTGTGCTGGGCAAGCAGGCGGGAAGGCACATGTAGGCCAAGGCCACAAGGAAAGGGGGAAAGTGAAATATTTGGCTCATTGTCTCAGTCAAGAAAATTCATAATATTCCATGCTTGATTGTTCTTCTTCACGACACCAAAGCACGTGTGTTGGGGGCGCGGTGCTGAATTCCAAAATTTCGCTCAGTGGCTTCCTTTCTTCAGCCCTTAGTTCCTTGAACTCTCATCAAAATATCTGGCCATTGTCAATGTGCCGCTTGCTCTATTCTGCCTATTATAAGTTTTATAAAACTCACCTACTGTCCCTCAGATTTCTGTTCTCTTTATTCTTGTACTATTTTTAAAATTTTAAATATATGTATTTTTCTACATATCCATATCAGGAATCACATGGACGGGACAGAGAATTGTTCTTTCACACTTGTAACTTCAGCACAAGAGAAACGCCATCTGGACCCTTTAAAAATACTATTTGATGCCTATGACACTTGCAGCCATTTGTGTAGTCATGGAAAACATGACTGACTGAAAAGAAATATCAAAGTAAAATGAATGATTCCAAGTATTTTGGATTTTCTTAGCCTCCGAGTATAAAAGCAGCTCTTCGGAAGTCAGCCAAATTTAACTTTGCTGGGCTCTCACCATTGGTAAATACATCTTAGAAATAAGCTTACCAAAAAAATGAATAAATAAAAAGGAACATTATCAAAATGGGTGGCATTAACTTGTATGCCAAATCTCACCTGATTTTTTTAGATCTGTGCTGATAATTAGATAGTACATCTTTGCCTCTTTCTTTCCAAGTTTAAGTTTAAATAGACAGTGACAGTAAAATTTTATTTCAGATGCCCAAGGTCCCTAGGAGATATATTTTTAAAGCTCGTTCCTGTTTTTGAACTCTTTCCTGACCAATTTTCTTGAATCTGCCACCCTTCCATTCTCATGATCCGTTCTGAGACCAAAGAGACCTCAGCTCTGCACTTTGTGGCAAGCGGCCTATTCGTTTGGCACCTGCTGGTCAGACCCAGCAGCAGTAATAGGAACAAAATGGTAAGGATGGGTTGTCTAAAAATAGCCCTTTCCATTTTTATAGCTAGTTAAATCACTCAAGTCTAGCACTAAGGACAATTTGCAGTGACAAATGAGCACAATTATTTTAAGAAAGGCAAGGAATATTTAAGTTGGAGGCTTAAAAATGTTCTTGACATTATCACCATAGAAAGGCAATTTAATTTATAATTGCATTAATGTTGTATAGTGATAATTCTGACTCTTAGGGATACACACTACTGAGGATTTTTTTTTTTTTCTGGTACCAGGAGTCGAACTCAGGACGTCGCACTTGCCAGGCAGGCGCTGTGCTGCTCAGCTAAATTCCCAGTCCCACTACTGAGGATATTGACCATGCAGAGGGTGATAATGGTGTGTAACCCAGAGAGGTTACATACTACACTGTATGAGATCCCATCTGTTTTTTTCATATATTCTTCAGTAATAAAGGTGATTTTATTTATCAAATAAAAGTTTTCCATATCCAAATATAGACTAGTTACCTAAAATAATTTTCCAAAGACAAATTTTGGCATTTTCATCTGAAATTCAGCTTTGAGTACCTCTTATAATTAATTTGTCTTATTAAGAAGCACAGATTTTCAAAACTGCCTCCAAGTTCCATAGGGCCTTGGAGATTTTCATATGTTTACATTATCACCATTAAATGGAAATTAGTAAGCACTTCCAGATTTGTGGGAGTGGATTTATATGGACAATAACCCCAAGCCTGATTTTATTTCTAGAATGTTCAAGTAAGAGCGGATGAGCAAAAACCATAACATGGTCAAAACAAAATTATATAAACCATAAAATAAGTAATTAATAATTTTACAAAATGCATCAGATGCCCACCAGTAATGTGGAAGAAATTCTTCAAGATACCTACTATGGTCTTTGCTCTTATTAAATATTCAAAAGCAAAAGCCAGTCTTGCTTATTTGGGTAAATATAGCGGTGTTGGTGAGAAGGTGGCTCCAACTGTAACTTGTGACCTTCCCAAGTGCACTTGCACGTTTCTGTGTTCGTGGGCTTGTGTGTACGGATATGAAGTCCCATAGACTTGATTATTCTGGATATGGAACCCACACTGCCCTGTCGCGTAGCTCACTTTGCCCTACCATTGTGCAGACGCTGAGGAACAGAGTCAGTTTTCACTTTTCAGAACTCTGTCTTCCCTCCTTGGTCACTTTGATCTTTGGTGTTGAGGTAGGAAATAAAGCAGTTTTAGAAAAAAAAGTGAAAACTGCCTATACTTCATACTCTGGCTTTTTTTTTTTTTTTTTTTGAGTCTGAAGAAAAGCAAAGAATGTGAAACACTAATATTTCCATTCAATTCTAAATCCCACATAATTATAGTGAAACTGAATGTAAAATATTCCTTTCTTAAGATTTAATGATGACTCTTTGTAAATTGTAATAGACAATGTTTTTTTTCAAATGATTGATTCACCTACACAGATCTTATTGTCACCACATAAAATACTTTCCTGTCAGAGTTGACTTTTTAAAAATCTTACCTCCACCACCTCCTCATACTCTTCGTCATCCGCCATTTTCCCAGAGTAGTAGCGGCACCTACAAGCTTTCCATATTCCACACAAATGAAAATACATTAGAATCCATCCTTGGGACCAAACTGACCTTACATAAAGTAGAATTTAATACCCCTCTGGTATACATCTCACATATTCCTGCCCACTAAGAGAAAGAAACATTTAAAGTAGAAAATTAAACAACAGAAGACTCCAGTATCTCCTTCCTGCTTTCCTCAGGAGCATGTTGAGTACGGTTACTTCTATGACACTGGCTTCATTAAAGTTATAAAAAGGAGACTGAGGCAGGGAAGTGAGAGAGTTTGGATTCATAGAACAGACACTTCCAAACACTCGGAGTGAAACATTTTCAAAACAAAATTTTCAGTGAAAGAACCTTCTCTTCTGTCACCCCCAACTCTGAGAAGGCTCATTTAACTTCACATAGCTCTGGTGCACACATTTCACATTAGACAATGTAAAAAATAATCCATCGATAAATTTTAAAAGCAAAAATAGAAACCTCAAGGCAATGTGGTTATTCTCTTTCGGAAAACCATTGGTTTATACGGATTTTTTTTCTTTCCTTTTCTGTAGCTCCTGTTCAACCCTGAAAAACAACAAAGTTTTAAAGTATTGGTTGAAGTACTTATAAGATTGTAGGACTTTGGCCCAAGCTTCTAACCCAGGAACTAAAGCAAAGATCTCTCCAGCCCTTCGCAGCCTGACGCCGGCCAGTGGGACTCCTCACATAAGAGGATGATGGCTCAGAGCAGCTGCCCCTCTGCCCAAAGATGCTTGCCCTGTAAACCAATACCCCACAGTGGCTGGTTTTGTTAAGCTAGCGAAACTGCCACTCCTTCTGAGGCAAATGAAGCCCAGTAGAGCAGGATAAATATAGGAACGTAGAACATAGATCCTTTTTCAAACAAATATATTTAGGAAAAAACTTGACGACCAAAAGTGAAAAAAAAAAATCTTGCTACACAAAGAGAGCTAACTTGACCAAGCCATAATCTGGTTAGGGTAGGACTTGACTCTAATCAGAAACTCTACATGTCAGATATTAATAGGGCCTTTGTAGGGCACTGGGGTTACAGACTTGCTACCGCATTACCGTCATTATTTTCCCAGTTAGGACCCCAATTTTTGAAAACTACTTCAAAGGAAGTTGTGGCACGTCTACTGAGAGAACACTACAGAAAAAGACATGAACTGGCCTTACCTTCAAGTTATCAAATAAACCTCCTCAGCAGCAAATCCTCTCCCAACTCTCCCCTCCTGAGAACCCCAGGCAAAAGCCAGCGTGGTGCCTGTGCTCGGAATTATGTGGCAGGAGCAGCCAATCAGATTTTGAGTTGCTCAAATTTCAGAAGCTAAATATACTGAGTGATCTTCTGAAAAGCACCTGTTCATCAGTTCCACTAAAGGATAAAGGGTAACAAACTGCTTGCTTAGAACAATTCAAATGTAGTGGGATTTCACCTTGTTCCCAATCTCCGAGGGTCCCCCTTCGGGTTCATTTTTCATTTGCTCCAGTCTCACTCAGCACCCTCTCATGGAGAAGAGCTTAGAGAACATGAGCGTGGCTGTGGGGACCTCGGCTGCCTCCCGACGGCTGCTGCGCTCACACCATTGTCCATGTTCCGCGGAGGTAAACACACTCACCCTGCTCACGCTCACCAGGTGAGCCACCAACAACTCACCGCTGTGATGTGAGAAACAGATCACACCGGGTTGTCCAAACACGATTTTAAAAAATGTAGTGAATGAGATACAGGTAAAATTATCTACGGGGTTGCTAGGTAGGAGACACCGCCAGAGTATCGCTAGGTTAGGCCTCCCTCTTTTTCTGTTGCTAACCCGAGGCTTGCGCCCACCTCCTGCTCATTACCTCCTCCTCCCAGGGCCAGCCGGCTGTCAGGAAGACCGACCCTCTCTGGCGTCCCTGGCTTACGGATCTCCCATTAACTTGTGGCTCCTGGCTCCTAGAAGCAAAATGTGGACGTAGGCCCGAAAGTCTTCACTGCTGTGCAGCAATAGAAAGATGGGAAATCAGTAAGTTAGCACTCTAGTGGGAGAAAATACGTGCTCTTGGGCAATTCAGAGGGTAAGAGGGTTACTTTGTAGAAGTCATCTAACTTACATTTTGTTTTGCTCCTTAACTATTGTTGTTGTAGTTGTTGTTTTCTCTGTTTTTCTTGACACAGGGTCTCGCTATGTAGTTTGATCTGACCTTGAACTCATTATGGAGCCCAAGCTGGCCTCGAACTCGCAGCGATCCTCCTGCCTCGTTCTCCAGAGTGCTGGGATTTCGGGTGTGCACCACCACGACGGACTGCACCTCAACTTTTTTTAAATTTAAAATCTAATTCTGTCTCCATGCCCTTACACATAGCACAGCTCTCAGAAGCTGTTGCAGCACAGAGCATTGCTATTTTTCTGGTTTGCTCCTGAATTAAGGCAAAATCTCATGGGCCATTCATATGTTGATATACATTAGAAACTAAACATATTGTAATATGCAGTTTTTTACAGTTAAATGTTATGTAGTAGTCTCATATTCAAGATATTTCTCTGTTCTTCCTTTCCATGATTCTTCTGGTGGTAAATAATATTTAACATCATTTTGTTGTGCTAATTCTACCTGTTCATCTTGTGTGTTCTCATAGGTCTCAGGGCCCAGGGGTGTTGGTGTAATAGGAGATCATTCACTCAGTAGCTGTAAACAAAATTATATAAAATAAATAATAAGCACAGACCTTCTCAAAGGTAGTAAGTGTTATGTTTCAGGTATTTTTAAGAGGAATATTAACATAAATCTAAACTGGCATGGTGGTGCACAGCTATAATCCTAGCACTCAGGAGGCTGAGGCAGGAGGATTGCTGTGAGTTCAAGGCCAGCCTAGACTACATAAGTGATTTCAAGGCCAGCCTGCTACATAGCGAGACCTTGTCTCAAAAAAAACCCACCCAAATAAAAAACCCATAAATTTATATATTGAACAAAATATATGGGCATCTTTGATGAAAATTCACTTAGATATATCCTACTCTATTTCTCACAATAGGTAGAGTATAATTTGTTTAACCATTTCTTCATTCTTGAGCATTTAGGTTGTTTTACCTTTTTTAGACTTTGAAAAAACAAAACACAGTAAGCATTCTTGTACATTATCTTTGCATATTTATATGAAGTATATCTGTAAGAGAAAATTCTAGAAGTAAAATTACTGACACGGAAGACATGTGCACGTTTCCAAAATTGGTAGAGATTGTCAAGTCACCGTGTCAAACAGCTGCACATTTTGGTGATGTCAGGAATTGCTAGCTTTGTAAAGTTTGTATAATCTATTGGGACAATACTCACTCTGCTGATGTAGGGTGAGTGTCTGCACACCTTGGCCCGCACTTCATATGTGGAAACCCAGTGCTCCGACGCGACAGTGTTCAGAGCTGGGGTGGGGGTGCAATGGGGTCATGAGGGTGAAGCTCCTGAATGATTTTAATTCCCTATAGCAGAGGCCACAGCAGGGCGTGGTAGTCCCTGGCGTGGTAGTGCGTGTCTGTAGCTCTAGCACTCTGGGAAGCTGCAGCAGGAAGATCAAAAATTGGAGCCTAGCTGGACAATTTAGTGACTTAGAGAGACAATCTCAAAAAACAAAAAATAAAATTAAGAAGGGCCAGAGATGTAGCTCAGTGTGCAGAGGCACTGGGCTTGAGCCCGAATGGGGCAGGGTGGGTAGAAGGCCCCACAGAACTGCCCTGCCGGCTTCCTACCTCCCGTTGATGCCCAGAGTGGACTTTCCACCTCTGGAAACCTCGTGAGAACCCAACCATGCCGGCAGCCTAACCTCGCCCTTCCAGCTCCTGAGCTGTGAAAGTAAATTTCTGTTGCTTCTGTCACTCAGTTTAGAGTTTTTCTATTCTAACAGACTAAAACACTCTTCATATGTTGCTTGAAAATATTACAGCAGTCAAAAGAGAAAATACTATGGCAGTAAAGATGAACAGGGCCAGGGATATAGCTCAGTGGCACAGCGCCTTGCTTGGCAAACTCAAGCTCCTGAGTTCCATTCCTGGTACAAAAATAAAAAAGATGAGCAGAACCCCAAACTCCACTTATGGGGAAATAAGTAGCCCAGGATCAGGGTCTGACAAGTTAGGAGGCCAGAATTCGGCCTACATAAAAACACCTTGACTTAGATCTCTTAGGATCAAACCCCTCTAAGAGAAAGTCCCAAGGCTCCAGTTAAATTGGACTGCTGAGGCACATGAAGAGTGAGTCATAGGAAGGCTAGTTGTGCTTTCACCCCGGCTGCACGGAGGCAGGTGCGTCATCAAGCAGCTTCCATTTTCTATGTACTCACCCTAAATTAAAACATTGCCATGGCCTTAGTAACTCCGCACATGTCATTCTGGAATTATGCCCTCGAGGGAGAAAAGAGCGGTTCCACCTTCAGGAACAAACAGGGATAAACTGACACACTGATGTACTAATGGCTTTTTATTGTATGCTTTAGCTGTTGATAAATGTTAGTTATTGCTATCTTTATTGCTAATCTTTGTATTTTATTGTAGTTTCCACTCTACTCTGTATTCAGTAGAAATAATAAAATATCATTAAGCTTCTGGAATCAGACAGCAATGTGTCTAAAATTTTATGAATCACTAGGGGCTTTAGTATAAAACAAAGCAGGATACAGTTAGGTGCCAACAGCAAAACTTCAGAGAAACATTTATTCTGAGCTGATTCAAAACGCTTCTGTTTCATGGTCATTTGGACTCTGGAGAGGAGCTGGAGCAGGCGGGTAGGGTGGACGGGACGCTGGGCAAAGGCACCTTCAGAACCATGTGGGAACCTGGCAGGGATGCACGGACACAGTGTGCAAAGTGAGGAGGAGCATTTTCCCAGGGTGAATGGCAATGTGTCCCTTACTGTAATAAGAAGTGTTAGGTTTTACAATTTTAAACATTCATTGTGGTTTCGATTCCCCCTTGTATGCACATCACTGACGGGGCGGATAGCTGTCCGAGCTTCTCATTAGATCCACCTGCATCTCCCCTCTTCCTCAGGGTTCGTCACTTAAACTCATCTCTCTGAATCTTTTTGTTAACTACACCTGCGCACCTTTGGCAAACTCTCCTGCTTCTTCTCCCCGGGTTTTCAGTCGCAGCATCCTCTGTTAGTTCCTGCCTGGGAAGAGGCGGCGTTGGCTGTCTTCATACGAACCCCGTGTCCCACACAGAAGCCTGGCCTCGCCGCCGGCGGCCAGTGCAGTCCTAGCTGTGTAGTTCACGACTCCCTCTGCGTGACCGCGATTTGCCAAAGGCTGCTCGCGGTGAATTCCACACACAGCGATTGTTTCCTCTTCCTACGGAGGGGTTTTCTGAGCTGCTATGTTTCCTCTGCCCCTTTTGCTTTCGCCCTCGGCTTAATTTTTCTGGACAAGGGGGTCAAGCGCCCCTTCTGCATGTCTGTGCGGCACCGACCAGAGCAGAGGCCGGTCGCCACGTGCACCTAGCGCACACTGAAGGTGTGGGGAGTGTGGCTGCAAAACTGAGTGTGTCTGTTCCGCTGACTTTAACTCCACAGCTGCCGGCCACAGTGCTGGGCAGCGTGGCCGTAGGCATTTACCGCTGATTACCAGACTGCCCGCCCTAATCTGCCCTCGATATTCTCAGAGACATCAGGCCTGCAGCACTGGTCAGTTTTCTCCTCCATAAAGACTCTTTTTGCTTTCCTTCCTTTCCAGGCCGTACACTTTGAAGGAAGTCACTATGCACACCCAAGCCTGGGGATGGGGAATCTTGCTTTTTCCTTAAAGGTAGGGAGACCACTCAATTGTTTGGAATTCTTCAGTTCTTCAAGGAGATTTTTTTGCTTCTCCCCAATTTATTGATTTATTTAATCATTTATTTAGGACCCGAGATATAGCTCAGTGGCACAAGCACCTGCCTGGCAAGTGCAAGGTCCTGAGTTTGATTCCTGGTACCAAAAACAAAACCAAAAAAAATTTATTTATATCAGTAAAGAGCCATAGATATTTATACTATACTTTGGGTTACAATCCAATACTTCTTTACTTTGCTATGTAAATAGTTCCAGGTTTGGCCATGGGTGCTCTTGGCATTGCACCTGTGCCTCTTAGGCAGATGCCCACCACTATGTGGTGTGTGGTGTGTGGCACACGTGTGTGTGTGTGTGTGTGTGTGTGTGTGCAAGTGAACATTTCCTAGCTTTCTGACACTACAGATGCTGCAGGATTTCAAATATAAATATGCATTCAATTT